AGTGGAGATATGAACTTCACAATATAATCAAAAACAGTTTAGTCCCTTAATCAACCATAGATTTCCATGAAAAAAATGGTGAAATGATGTTTGTGTTTTTTGTGGTACTTTGCAGTAAAACAGACACATATCCCATTGAATTTGCTGGGTACTACCATGGACTAGGAAAAGGCCATGTGTGGTCTGAGTTTGTTGGAAGGAAAAAGTTTTATCCCAGAAGCAAAACATAGTACAGTAGAGGCAGGCAAAAGAAGTTATGTGCTTATTCACTCTTCTGGAACCCACCATACACTTCACTCCATTGTAGCATTTGTCATATAGAGACACGTGGAGGAAACTGTGCCTATGTACAATGCAAGCTGTGTAATTCATTCTGTCATTCATTCACATCTATCAAGTACCTTATATGTCAGGCATTTCACTAGCCATGGGGATGCAGCAGTGAGCAAATAGGTCATAATTGTTATCCTCATGAAGATTTATTTTAGTAGGAGGGGATAGCAATGAATAATATAAAATGTCAGAAGGGCTATGGAGAAAAATAGAATAGGTAATAGAGGTGAGAGTGTCAGGGCTTTCAGATTTTTAATATGGGTTGAGGCCTACTGAAGGCCTCATGAAGTTTGAGCTTGATGATGATGATGTGAGGGAGCAGGCTTATAATAAGTTTGAGGTGAGGAGAGGCAGAATTCGGAGTAAGAACCCTTGATGAGGGTGTCCTGTTGATGGGGAAGGCAAGGGAAAGCAAGAAGCTGACTATTAGGAGATGAGTCAGAGTATGGAGCCATCCCAGCAAGGACATGGGGAAAGACGCCATGGTGCTAGAGCAGCTCTCTGCCACTCTATGACCTAGAATTTTACTTGGAGTTGAGGGTCATAGCTGGAGTTTTTTTTGTTTTTGTTTTTAAAGTTTTATTTATTTATGCATACAGAACTGGGGTACAAGCCAGAGGTGCAGGGGTGGTGAGAGGATTCACCAGAGGCAGAGTGGGGAGCAGAACAGGCAAATCGACGAATCCACTGCTGAAGGGAGCAGCGGACAGGTCAGGAGAGGTCTGCCCTGCTGCGCCATGTGGGTCACCTCCGTCCAGGGCAGGGATCGACCTCATGCTGAAGTGGCTTTAACTTCTTAGTGCTGTGTTTAATCTGCTGCGCCACCAGGGAGGGCCCCCTAGCTGGAAAAATCAGGGTGGTCCATAAGCAGATATCAGGGTGGAAATTACATCTTTGTTTCATGAACCAAAACTGTCCATTTACTTCCATTGTAAAAGTGGGTCACAAACAATAATAGTGTCATTAATACCTGTAACTTTCTCTTAATTGAAAACAAAAGGAATTTTCCAGTCCCATTACAAAGCCATAGTTACTGAGAAATATTCCTTGGTTTATGTTTATCTATATAACAAAATTATGGAAATTATCAGACCCCAGCGGAATCATATTATTTAGTGAGTTTATATATTGTAATTCTTCCTATTGTATCTTAAGTATTTAAATACATTATTCTGAGAGGTATTTTTGGCATAAAAGAGGTTAAGAACCCCTGAATCACTGGGGTTTTAGAAGAGTCATACCATCTGACTTAGCATTGTATAAGCATCAGTGTAGCTGCTTTGTTGAGGATGGATTGTCAGGGACAAGGGCATTAAGCATAGAAACACATTAAGATGCTGCTGCAGCAACCCAGGCAACAGTTGTGGGGGCAGGGCCAGCACTGGAGGTTGTAAGAAGTGGCTGGATTCTGATTGTGTTTGAAGAGAGAGCCAACCTGACTGGCTGGAAGTGAGGCATCTAGGAAAGAGCCAAAATGAAAACAAGCGTTTGGACCTGAACTACTGGAAACATGAATCCTTCCATTAACTAAGATGGGAAAGACAGCTGGTGGAGGACTTTGGAAAGATAAGGTTGAGATAATTATTAGATGGCCATTTTTTTTTTTTTCCATTTGGGCGATGGAAGATCTTCTGGATTAAACTTATCCAGATCTTCAACAGCATCTGAATCTTTTGTCTGATAGCAGTTCCTTTTTTTTTTTTTAAGTGTTATTTATTTATGCATACAGAACTGGGGTACAGGTGTAGGGGTGGGGAGAAGATTCACTAGAGACAGAATGGGGAGCAGAAAAGGAGGATCAACAAAATACACTGCTGAGGGGAGCAGCAGGTGAGAGCAGGAGAGGTCTGCTGCTCCATGTGGATCACCTCCGGGGCAGGGATTGGACTCAACTTGCACTGAAGTGGCTGTGGTTAGCTTGCAGTGATGTGTCCTAACCCGTTGCACCACTGGGGAGGGCCCTGACAGCAGTTTCTGAGAGATGTATTAAACTCTAACAGTATGATGATGAATTATTCAAATTCTCATAATTCTGTGAACTTCAGTTTTATATTCTGAAGCTACATTGTTAGATTCCTATAGAATTGCTATTGTTTTATCTTCTTAGAGAATTTTTATTGTTATTTTTATTTTGAAAGATCTTATTCCATCAGTATGCTTTTTGCCTTAAGGTCTAATTTATCTGATATTCATATAGCTACCCCAGCTTATGTTTTTCCATCTCCCTTTTCCTTTCAGTTTTCTGTTATTTCTTATTTATGTATATATAAATTTGGTATGAACTTTGTTAAGATAAAATTTATGTGATTCAATTGAAGTTACATAATTGAAAAATAAAGTATGTAATTAATTGACTTGTAGGCTATTTACAGTGCTGTGCAGTCATTACTGCTATCTGGGTCCGAAGCATTTCATCGCCCTAAAGGATATCCTGTAGCTGTTAAGGAGTCACTCATGCTTTTCTGTTTCCTCACACCCGCAGCCCCTTGTAGCTGCTCCTACTTTTTGTCTCTAAATCTTCCTATTCTGGACATTTCATATAAATGGAATTGTATAATACGTACCTTGTTGAGTTGGACTTCTTTCATTTAGTATGTTTTCAAGATCCATCATATTTTAACATGTATCAGTGCACTACTTTTCACGGTGGAATAATGTTCTGTTGTCTACATAGGCCACATTTTGTTTGTCCATTCAGAAGTTGATGGACATGCCACCTTTTGAGCTATTATAAATAATGCTGTTTTGAGCATTCATATATAAGGTTTGTGTGGACATAACTTCTTACTTCACTTGGATGTGTTTGTAGTACCATTGCGGTGTTGTTTAAATATTTATATCTGTAATCCTTCTGAAATAGATTTTCGTTTTAAGCGGCCATACCAGTACCAAGTTCTTAACCCTCACTGAATTCCTCACAAATAATACTAAGGTGATATTAATTGATAATTTGCTCACCAGTTGATTCCAAATCTAGATTATTCTTGTAAATATGCCTCTTTAAATCCATAGTTCGAAGGATTGAATATTTAATTCTTCAAAACTTGAAAGTTAAGTACACAAATATTAACTACAATTGATAATTAAGTGGGTTTGAACATTTTACTTTATTAATGTTAGGAGGAATAGCACTGCCCTATTTAGTAATAAAACTCTAATGGTTGGAGAGTTTTCTGTGCCAGGTTAACTACATACTATGCTGGACCCATTACAACACGAAATTATAGGACTCTGCCCTATGATAGTAAAAAATCTTCCCTCCTCATGGGTCTACCATTCCAACCCATTCAATCAGGCATGCTCCAATGACTTGCAATCTATGCAAAAGATGTACTAAATACCTGGGTACAGGGTGGACAAAAAGTCCACAATAAGAATGACAACCAAATAGTATGTGACACCCCTTAGGAGAACATAACTTTTCTCTGACTGGAGACTCCAAAAGCCTCATGCCTGAATCCTGACCCATTCCACGCCCATTTCCAGGATCCCAGTGACATTGGAATATGATGGCCAAATGTTAGAGTCTCCTCCACATATACAGTGTAGTTGTTACCCTTGAAAGAAGGCAAAGCAGTCCTGGGACAGGACTGGATAGGCCAGGTAGGGCACAAGGTGTCAGGAGCAGAGAGCAGGTGGAAGAGAACCTATCATGGACCAAAACTGGGAGATGGGTCCCGCAAGTCAGCCAAGGCTCCAGGCCCCATTGTCTTGCTCAACTTCCCATAAAAACACACAATCAAAGAGAAAATGACCAAGAATCTTATGGCTTATGAAATCATCCTGGCTTCAATGCAATTTCTTAATTTGGGGGAACATTGTTGGAGAATTTGTCTTTTTGAAGTAAATGTTTAATCAAATGTGATGCTGAACTTTTTTTAAAAAAGATTTATTTAGGGCCCTCCCTGGTGGCGCAGTGGGTTAAAGCACAGCACAAAGAAGCTTAAGCCACTTCCGCATGAGTTTGATCCCCGCCTACCCTAGAGGAGATCCACATGGCGAGGCAGACCTCTCCTGACCCGCCCGCTGCTCCCCTCAGCAGTGTACTTTGTCGATCTGCCTGTTCTGCTCCCCACTCTGTCTCTGGTGAATCCTCTCACCCTCTGCATCTCTGGCCTGTACCCCAGTTCTGTAAAAAAAAAAAAAGATTTATTTATGTATACAAGAACTGGGGTACACGCCAGATGTGCCCCGAGGGTGAGAGGATTCACCAGAGACAGAGTGGGGAGCAGAACAGGCAGATATACTTAAATATGCTGCTGAGGAGAGCAGTGGGCAGGTCAGAGAGTTCTGCCATGCCATGTGGGTCACCTCCCTGGCCAGGGATTGAATGCATGCTGCTGTGGCTACAGATAACTTCATAGTGCTGCACTTTAACCTGTTGCGCCACCAGGGAGGGCCTGGTGCTGAACATTTCAAGTTAAATGCACTTTAAGTGTAACTGCGTTGTCTCTAGTTAATGGCATTATCAATAACTTGTGCTCTCACTCTTGTTCTTTTTAATGTATTTTAGTTTTATTTAATGAAGTGAATTATATTTGTTATTAATCAAACCATGATGTTCTGCAGATCACTAACTATTATTTTATATGATTTTGTCTCCATTGCTGGGGTGTAGTATTTATTTTCCTACTATACTCTTACAAAAATGCCTTTTCCTTACACAGGTCCATTGACATTAGACTAGCTAATCTCTCAGATACACCTGGTGTTGAAAAGCTTGTCAGCACCCTCTTGCTGAATAAAAGTATATTGGAAGATTTAAAGCAATACAACGAGGCACGAAGAGACCCTGTAAGTACTTACTCTGACCAGACCAGTCTCTTCTTCCCCACTCATGTAGGCTTAACTCCCTAATTTCTCCTTAGACCCCAATTGGAGAATCATGTGTTAGGGAGTGATGGAGCTGGAATTGGAAGATGGAAGCCAGAAGAGAAAGAAAAAGAAACAGATTTAAGGAAATGAGGATTGATGGTCCCCCCGTGTCTGGTGTTTAAGGGAGTTGATCAGGTACCCTAAATCCTTATTATGGGAATAGAAAATTGTGACTTGATCCACACAAGTATCACAAAATGAAATAAGATAAAAAAGACAGAATAGACGAGTCTGATGTAGGCTAGGGACCAGTAGCTCAGGAAAGGACTCAGTGCCCCTCTGGTAGCACTAGCTATCAGACTTCTAGGAGAGAGGCCCTATTTACTATCCTACTGGGTGGTGATCTGTCCGGATTCCTTTGTTGTGCTGCCTGCCTCTTCATGGATTGGATAGACTGAGAAAGATTCTGTGTGACAATTGTTGGGTCCTCTCTCAGATATAACTATACTATGCTTTCGTCATGAAGGACAAGGTTGTGGTCCTTATGTTAACACTTTCTCCTTGAGGTGCATGCCAGTCAACTTCATCAGACATGTAATAATACATGTAGTTAGAGAAATGCTATCTTAAAACTTTTTACTGAAGTATAACTAGGGAACAGTTGATATGGATTTCACAAGTCAAATGTATCATGTAATTTCTTTCAAGGAAAAGGCTAACCCTAGCCTGCCAAAAGTCTCCTCATAGTCCCAGTTAGCCATTTTCCTCCCAGGTTAATACTGCCTTGAATTTTAAGAACATTTATTAGTTATGCCTGTTTTAGAACTTTATATAAGGGTAAATTGGTGTATTTCCTATATCAAAATGCTTTTGCTTAGCAGAATGTTTGTGATAGTCATTCATTCTGTGGCCTAATGTATTTTCATTGTATGAATATGCCATTTTGTTTCTCATTCTAATGTTGAGGTCACTGAGGAGTTTCTAGTTAATTGGATCTTTTAAATAGCCTTTTAATTAAATTTTAAATCATTAGGCGGAATATACCAAATACCAACACAATTAATCCTTAATATCTATATAGACATTGAGTTAAAATAAAAATAACCCCAACCACATTTTTTTTTTTATTTTCTTATGGCTTCTATTGGACTTTTTGTATTTTCATTTTTTGCCCTTCCTGGTTCACCAGTGCAGTATGATGTATACCCTGAGTCCCAAAGTGTAGATTTAGGGACTTTATGGCCTGCAAGGCATGAGTTTTCATGAGAGTTACCCTAGGAAATCCCATTCCTAGGTTTCACACAAAGGATGTTAACATATTTAACTTGAAGGGATATGTACTTCTATGTTCATTGCAGCACCTTTTATAATAGCTAAGTTATGGAAAAATCCTCAGTGCCCAAGGGCAGATAAATGGCTTAATCAGGTGTGGTATATGTACATACTGTTATACTATTCATCTTTAGACAAGATGAAATCTTGCCATTATGGCAACATGGGTGAAACTGGAAGGGATAATGAGATAATAAGGAATAATAAGTTAGAAGAAAGACAAATACTGGCTTATTTCACTCAGAAGTGGAATATAGAAGTAAAAAAACACAGGGATATACAAACCAAGTCAAAATAAACTACAGAATCTGACTGTACAATTGAGGTTAACAGGTGGGGAAAATGAGGGTGAGGAATAAAGAGTGGAAGGCACCCAGTAGGCTGGTGGCTGCCTTGGTGGTGGCTGTGGTGTGGTAATATATTACATCTGAAAAAGTGTGATGATATGTCTCTGAATCATATGTGGTGTTTTATTCTGGTGTATCTCATTAAAAAAGAATACATTTAAAACCACTTTCAATATCATCTCAATAAAAAAAAAACAATACAATTAAGTTATTTCCATAATAAAAAATTAATTTTCACTGTGTTAATAGTCACATTAATGGTGCAAAAGCAATGGGGGGGGGGCAAATACTGGGATATTCAAGTTTGGCTCAAGGCAGGGGCACTGAACTTCCCAGTGGTCTTTGAGTTCTATACCACCACACACTCACAATAACAACAGGAATATTAATACATACCAACAGAATGGCTAAAACCAAAAAAGAATGATGCCACTAAATTTTGGCAGGACTGGGGATATTGGATCATTCATAAGCTATGGGTTGGAATATAAAATAGTACCAATGTCTGGAAAGTATTTGTTTTTTTAAAAACACAAGAACGCAGCTATCATATGGCCTTACAATTGTGCTTCGGGGCACTTGTCATAGAAAAATGAAGAACTGTACACCAATGTTTATAGCAGCTGAAATAAGCCCAAAAGTTCTTCAATAGGTGAATGATTAAGCTATGGCATGTCCTTGCCATGGAAGACTACTCAGCAATAGAAAGGAATGAGCTGTTGGTTCATGCATCAGCTTAGATGAATCGCTAGAGAATTATACTCATTGAGAAGAAAAGTCAGTTTCCAAAGGTTACATACTGTATGATTCTGACTAAATGACATTTTGGAAATGGCAGTTAGAAGTGGAGTTTAAATTGCTTGTTTGCCAAGCTGCAAAAGGAAGGGGTTGTCATAGAGCAACCTAAGTGATCTTTGTGTGGGTACTGTTCAGTTTCTTGACTATGGTGACATAAACCTACAAGGGAAAAAAGCTACTACTGACAAACGGAAACACACACACACAAAGCAACAATGTACATCCCCTGCTTAGACTAGAATTTTGCAAAATGTTCTCATTAGGGGATACTGGGAAAACAGTATTTTTTCTCTTCCTCTTTTTTTTTTTTTGTATTGAGAGAACATTGGTTTATAACACTGTATATGATTTAGTGGTGTAGGATCACAACTTTCAGGTCTATGTTGTCACACCCACACTCACCACCAGGCATCCATAGTTTTCTACCATAGCCCATATGTCCCCTCCACACTTCGCTCTCTTCTCTCTTTCCCTCCCTCCTACCTTTGTCTAGATTCTACAATCGTAATTCTAGGGTTTGTCATTACGTTGCTTTTTGTTTCTCTATATTCCACAAGTGGAATATATATTCCACAAGTGACAGCATCCAGTATTTGGCTTTCTCCTACTGACTGACTTTGCTGAGCATAATCCCCACCAGTGCCATCAACGTTGTAGTACATGGTTAGAGTTTATTATTATCATCATATGTATATATTTGACTAGTTTTCCATTGTGGGTATATTCTACATGTAATCCACTCCTCTGTCTTTGGGCACCTAGGTTGTTTCCATAGCTTGGCTATTGTGAATAGTGCTGTGGTGGATAAAGAGATACTGTACAGTATTCACCCCTTCTCATTACCTTTTTGAAACTAGAAATCTATTTTATCAACTATAAGTATGACTGTTCCTGTCTTTCTTTAGGTCCCATTTACTTCTAGGATTGTTTTCCAATCCTTGACTCTGAGTCTTTGTCTGTCTTTGGTGCTCAGGTGCATTTCTTGGAGATGGCAGAAAATTGGATTTTATTTTTTCTCTCTCTTTTTAAAAAGATTTATTTATTTATGCATACAGAACTCGGGTACAGGCCAGAGGTGCAGAGGCAGTGAGAGGATTCACCAGCGACAGAGCAGAACAGGCAGATCTACGAAGTACACTGCTGAGGGGAGACAAGGGTTGAGACAGGAGCGGTCTGCCTTGCCATGTGGGTCTAACTAGCAGCTGGGCTAGTTTCTCTTAGTGCTGCACTTTAAACCTGTTGTGCCACCAGGGAGAGTCCTGGATTTTGTTTTCTAAACTAACCAGCCACTCTGTTCCTTTTGATTGGTAAAGTAAGTCCACTTACATTTAGGGTGATTACTGATGTGTGAGCATCTGTTACTGCCTTTTTATCCTTAGTTTTACAGTTCTATTTCCTTGTCCAGTTTTCTGTGGATGTTCTTCTCTTCAATTTAGATATGAAATACGAGAATGATATTCAACATTTCTTATCAGGGAGGTCTAATTTTTGTGATTCCCTTCACCTTTAATTTGTCAAAGAAAGCCTTTATTCCTATCTGAAGAAAAGTCTTGCAGGATAAAACATCCTTGACTGGCAGTTATTGTCTTTATTTTGAATATGTGATTCTTCTATCTTCTTGCCTGTAGTATTTCCTCAGAGAAGTCAGGTATAAACCTGGTTGGAATACCAGAATTCCTACAATTCCCTAATAGGTTAGCTGCTTGATTTTCAATAGCCAACTTCAATATTCTTTCTTTGTCTTGAGCTTGTAGAATTTTCATCATTATATATCTTGGTCTGGGTCTCACTATATTTTAGGTAACTAGATGTTCTTTTGACTTCCTGGACTTGTTTATTTAGTTCCTACTCCAGCTTTGGAAAGTTCCCCTCCTTTATTTCATTGAGTAAGTTCAGTGTTCCCAGCTCTCTTTCTCTCTCCCTTTCCTGGAGTACCCATTATTCTTATATTGCCTTTCCTCATAGATTTGGATAATTATTGAAGTGTCTCTTCATTTCTTTTCCTTTGTATTTCTTTTTATTCTTCCACCCATATTCTTTTTTCACTGCAAGTTATGAGATTCTCAAAGTCTAGTGCCCCTATGGACCACTTTAGATTATTCTCCTAGGAATGAAGCAGGGTACCTCATCTGATGTCATATTCTCCTCACTCAGTCTATATTATTTCTTATGACTGCTTGTGGGTCAACAGTTATCTCAATAGAACTTTGAATCTGAAAAGAAAGAAAAGTCAGTCTTGCTTGAAGAAGCAGTAAAAAATATTAACTTCTTAGGTCCTAACACTTGAGAACTTGTATCATTGGTATTCCATGTTGCAAAATGAGAATTGCACATAAGCCTCTTTACTTCAGACTGAGGTGTATTGGTTGTTTGTTAACAAACATATGACTTAGCAATTGCATTCCAAGGCATTTGAGGTGTATGCTGAATCAGCTGCCTTTTTTGTGGAGTACCACTTTTATTTAAAAGAACAGTTGGCAGACAAAATATGGTTGTTTAGTCTTTGGTAGTTGACAGGTATTTCTCATATGTAAGAAGTGAGGTGAGCCAAAAAAACAACTGGCAGTATTTGTCTATAATATCAAAATTTCAAGAAAAAACAATGTTTGAAATTTAGTATCTCCTGTTGTAAACCTGACAGTTTTACAGTCTTGAAAGAACTTTTCTAATGGCATGAACAAAACCATATATAGTGTTTTGATATCTTATAATGAAATAGGGCTACAGGACACCTCCCACAGGCACCAGGGTTAAAGTCTCAGAGCTATCAAGCTATCACCAGCCACTGCCATATGGTTTCAATCCTAGGCCAAGGAGCAGATCAATCCTACACCGGGTGCAGCAGATCTCTCCTGTCTCACCCACTTCTCTTAGCAGTATGTTTCAGTTGGTCTGCCTGGTCTGATCCCCATTCTGTCTCTGGTGAATCCTTTTACCACCTCCAACCCCCTCCGCTGCATCTCTGGCCTACACTCCAGTTCTGGTATATATACATAAATAAAAATAAATCTTAAAGAAAAAAGAAATAAGGCAATATTTGTAAAATTCCTGTAAACTGGTGAAGTAAATAAATGATACATAAAGTTTCAATTTCATGCATGAGTAAAAGATTCACAGTGCAGAATGGATAGATACATTTTAATTTAATAATATATACAAGGTTCATTGATAGGTCTTCATATTCCACATTTGCAACTAATCTTTGAAACACTACCACTTGTTGACTTTTGGTGGAGCATCACAGAATATCCATAATTATCTGAAAATTATTTAAATACTTTTCCAATTACTTATATATGTGATACATATTTTTCACATATTTCAACTACAGTAACATATTGCAACAGATTGACTGCAAAAGCAGATATGAGAATCCAGCTGTCTTTCATTAAGCCAGACATTAAAGAGATTTAAAAAATAAACCATTGCTGCTCTTCCCTCTCAATATTTTTGTCAAATTTTAAAATTTGTTGTAACTGAAAGCAAAAATTAATAAGCAAATAAAATTTTTTAAACAATTTTAATTTCTACTACAGAAAAGAGTGATATTATTATATCATACGCATAAACCAAAGCTCTTTGGAATTCTCGGGGCATAGGTGTCCTGAGATCACAAAATTTGAGATTCATTGATTTAAAAAAATCAAGTTCCTGAGTCAAGGGACAATGGTTAGAATCACAGATGCATCCTTTATTACCTATAGAACATGGAAAGTTACTCAATCTCCCAAGACTTACTTTCTCAGAAATGAAATAGAGATAATGCTAATACTGGGCTCGTTGGATTGGAGTGAGGATTAAATAAGCATGGGGAGGTAATTTAACTTATTACCTGGCCCAAAGGTAACTGTTGATAGGTATTGTCTCTATCATTGTCCTTATATGATCAGTTAAAGCTCAATATTGACTACTTACAAAACATTGAGAACAGTTTTCTAGAGATTTAAAATAATGTTTTTATCTTTTCAGGATGGAACACCACTGCAGGCATATGTAGCTGAAGTTGCAGGACAAATAGTTGGCATTGCAGTGATCAGAGATGAAATGGTAAATTGTAAAATGGATGTTAGTTTTCTTGATTGTGCCTTTTTACATTATGAATTTACACACAATGCCTCTTTTGAAGTTTCATTTTTACTTATTTAATATGAATGCCTCAGAATAATATAAATGATCATCTGCTTGCATCTCATTTGTCCATCTTTCAAAAGATTGCCACTTTTCTCCGTTCAAAATATTTAAAATATTATAAAAAGTTCATGAAAATATCACAAAGGAAATAACATGAAAATATTCACATTCAAAAAAATTCAAATAACCTTCTACCATTACAAAATAAGTCTCTTACTTTTCCCAAAGGATTACTACTAAGTTAGGCATTTATCTCTTCCAATATTCTTCCTTGCACTTAAGTTACATACATTTTGTGTGTGTGTGTGTGTGTTGTCAAATAGACATCTAATTTTATTATTTTCCAATGCACAATTATTCCAAAGTATTTATTACTGAGTAGTCTGTTCTTTCCTTACTGAATTAAAATGCCACCTTTACATTATTAAATTTCCATGTGCCTGTGTCTATTTTTAAACGCTCTATTCTGTTCTATAGATTTTTGTTGTTGTTGTTGATACCTTTTACATTAGCATGTGCTTTGATATCTGGTCAGGAATTATTCTCTCATTTGTCTTCTAAATTTTCTTGGTTTATTTAATACTTCCTTTACCTGAAAACGCTTGTTAAACTTACCATACAACTATTTGCACCTATGTGAATTTTTGAATTTTATAGAACAATTTAGGCAGAATCCACAATACTGAACTTCTATTTTGGAAAGTTCTACAATTCTGGTAGGGTTGTCGAATTCTTCTGGTGTCTCAGAAAAATTATGTGACTTTTTTTTGGGGGGGGGGGTGTACATCCTCTACAATTGTCCATCTTCTATCCCAAGGATCCTGGTCTGATGGATAGCATCACAGGTATCTTAGTCTTTTGACTTCCAGTTGGTTTTGACCAATGGGGAGCCTTAATGAGAATAAGGGGAGAGTAAGCTGGCTGGTTTCTCAACTGAATTCCCAACCTTTTCAAGGCTATCTCTTCTCTGTAACTGTCTTTTTCATTTTAACTCCAATAACCAGCACCACATATTTCACCCTTCTAGAGTGGTAATAGTTTGTTGTTGTTGTTCTGCTATCTTTCTGGTTTCCCTGGACCTTGCTCTCTTTGTAAATTAGTCTCTTTGTTAAAACTACTTGCCGTTACATTAATTGGAACATACCATCTATTTCTTGCTGGTACCATCCTGGACATTAATGATTTATTTTACATGTTTTATATTTTCCTAGATATTTCACTAACACTTTTTTCCCTTGTATTTTCCAAATATTTATTTTGTTACATTTTGTGTTCTGTGATCTTACATCCAGCCTTTTTTGAAGTCTCTCATTAACTCTGAGAGTTTTTCAATTGATTCCCTTTCTAACACAGTGTCACTTCCACCATTATCTGTTGGTCACAGGAGTCAGATTTCAGGGATAGAGAAATAGATTCCACCTCCTGATGGAGGTGTTGTAGGGTCACACTTTAGAGAAACATGTAAGATGGAAGATATTATCATTACATTCTTTGGAAAACAGAATTTACATCATCTTTAAACACCTGTTTTATCAATTTTACTAATATTTAGAATAACATTGGATAGTAGTGTTCATAATGGATATTTTTATGACCTTCATGATGTTAATGGAAATGATTTGATATTTCATCAACTTAATATAAGTTTAGGAAATTTCTTTTACTAAAAGTTTTATGATGATCAAGTGTTGAAATTTATTAGATGTGCTATTGGAATTTATAAGATGTTCATGTGACATATCCTTTGATATATTCTACTTTATCCTCATTTTAGCCATTTCTCTTTTAACTCAATATATTTTTGAGTACTTCTTTTAGTAAGGGTGGTAGGTGGTAAGGTCTCTGAATCCTTACATATACAATCATTTTGTCCTCACATTCGATGCTGATAAGTCTGTATATGAAATTTTATGCAAATTCTTTTCTAATCAGAATTTTGATGTTTTTATTCTCATTATCTTCAACATCACTGATAAAATATAATGTGATTAAATAAATATATGGTTGTTTTCTCTTCTGAAAAATTAGTTTTTTTCTTTTTATTGCTGAAAGTCTAAAATTTACCAAGAACAATTTTCTGACTCTATGATTTCACTATTATTTCTTCTCTTTCATTTTCTCCATTCTCCTCTTGAATTTCTTTAGGATGGATGTTTGACAGAATTAATCCTTTATGGTCTTTTAACTTACTTCTTATACTTTTTATGTCTTGTACTTCTTATTCCTCATTCTTGGAGATTTCCTAGATTTTTGTCTTCTGGATCCCTAACTCAGTCTCCAACCATGTTTGTTCCTATTTCCAGATTGCTTCTGAGATTTTAATTTCAGGATCATGTATTTAATTTTTAAGTCTATTCCATGTTCTCTTATTGCTGCTTTTTTTTTTTTGGTATCAGCTTGTTTGTTATGATCAAGAATTTTTGTGGTATTTTTGAGATAGATATTTAACTAGAATTTAAAAAAATTCTGTTCCCTGAATAACCCATTTTCTCTAGAGTAACTTGTATGTTTCCCCATTCTTGCCTTTTACATTTTTCATTTTTCCTCAAAAGTCTATCATGTCATGAATGAAAGATTATCAGCATGGATGTCTGGCACAAGTATCCCTGACAGTTGTGTGTATCTGCTTCTCTGTTGCATCTCTCCAGTCACTGGGAGAACTGCCCACCCCTCTGTCTAGTTGGAAGGGGGCATGAGTTGTCTGCCTTCCTCTCATGGTGCTTGAAGATAGTACTAGTAGGCAGCAGACTGGGACCTTAGAGTGACCCAAGGTAGGAAGCATAGTCCAGAAATAAAGAACTTTGGTGTGTTTCCTTCTAATGTCAAACTTCCTTACATTTTTGCCTCATATAACTTTAATTAATTAAAATTAATTTTTGTTTTTACTTTAGAGGATTTGGGGTAGTAGGAAAATTAGATGCACATGGCCCATCTGCTGTTTTGAGCTAATAACCTCTGTTGGCTCATTCATTGCTTTTTGTTTTTCAGTGATTTTACATTTCATTTTATTTTATAATGAAGGAAAGTTCCTTGATAATTACAGAATAGTCTTAGGGTGTAAAGGCAGTTACAGGTCAATGCAGACTGAAAGATTAAGCATTGCCAGAATTGTTCTCAGTTACCACACTGGGCATCATTACTCCAAACCCCATTTCCTTTCTACTTTGTGGCAGAAGCTGAAAGATAAGTCTTGGACACAGATTTCACAGGTTTTCAGAATTTTCTAATGCCAGACTTGCTAATCACAGAGTAATTCAAGTTTCTTGCATCTACTAATTCCTGCTCTTGAAAGTGTGTTTTTAGGAAAATTTTACTTTGGAAAGTAAAAGCTATACAGAGATGCTTTGCAATCTGCTATGTTTTGATTTTTTTTCTTCATAGCAAGTGTGTTTACTTTCTGTCAAGAGAGAGTACCCTTCTCTGAATTGTTCCCCCTCTTCACATTGTATTCTGCCAGGAAGTAAAGCACGGTGGGCTGATCCAGAGCATAGTTAACATGGATGAAATCCTGGGTTCTTCCCACCCATGTGGGACCAAAGACTGGTGATGAGAACCAGGCCCATGGAAATACAAACAAAATTAATATTAGGTGAATGTACTAATACACTTCGTTCAGATTGTCCTTAAGGTTAATAAAATCACTTAAAGAATCTATTTCACTCACTTGTGGCAGCTAAAGTTTCTGGGCAGAGCTTAAGAAGGTCTGGTCCTGAATGGGGTATGATGTGACAACATCTACCTGGCCTCGTGGTTGAATATCAGCCTTTATGTCCATATCAAGAGGAGGCTCGTTGCTGTCTATGAAATAACCGTATTTCCACATTAATAGGTGAATGATGTATAGTAACAAATCCAGAGAAACAGTGGGTGTTTGTCCATTCTTGAATGTTCCACATGCTCAATCAACCATGCTGACCAGCGCATGCTCCCCAGTGGAGGCTGAAGGCTCTCTGAATTTTTAGTAGCCAGGATAAAAGGAACACATTCCAAAGCTGGGTAGCTGTCATTGGTAAACAAGCCATCAGAACATGTGACTTTCAGGAAACATAATTTTTCATTAAAAAAAAATTAACAACAAAGACAAATAATAGGAGAGAAAAACACATTTCTTACCATTGTACCTTATCAATGTTTAAGAATTTTTAGAAGACTTTTTCATCACAAAATGCCTTCCATTTGTTTAAAATATTCTTAGGTGGTCTTTCTCTTCTTCTTTTCAGGATATCGAGTACATTCGATCCCATTACAATATTGAGGATTTCATCTACTTCAGTCATCATCAACGCGAAGAACATGGACACCTGTATCACTTTGCCCTGAACCCTATTTTTCGGCACTACACAAAGTTTTTTCTGAAGGAGATCCTCCGTTTAGGCTATAAATCCTGTCTCTACTACCCAGTTTATCCCAAATCTAGGAAAGGCAAGGTAAAAGAATGTAATAATTGTAAAGAATTAAAAGAATTGTAAAGAATGTAAAGAATAATTCTCTTTTCCTACAGATCAGCATTCATAGCTTCATTTGCGTTGTGTACAGATTGTATTCCTTCCTTGCTTGATGAATTTTGATTATAATATGGCTCTGAATTTCAAATGGCCATATTGAATTTGGCCCTTTTCTTAAACTACAGCAAAAGTCCAGAAGGCTTTGAATTTCTGAAACAATCACACCAGCATAATTAGTAGAGCAATTTGTTGGCTTTTCTATATTGACAAAACAGAGACTGAAAACTATGCAAAAATGCTCTAAGGGACTTGAAAATCAAATTAGTTCTTATGGTGCACTAGTGAAACGCCAAAGTGATACAATTGTGCTCTTCAAGAAAACGTTTTAGGAATGAAACCATAGAATAAATCAGTTATATTCTATAGACTGGCATTCGATCACAGCATTTCAAATAAGCAGTGTAACCACTCTGCCAAAAGGGTGATGGATAAAAAGTAGAGTATTACCAACTGAAACTTCATATATAAGTGCCTGTGTGACTTGCATAATACTTGTTATGCTTATAACAGGGAACAGTTCTGTAACAAATATATCTATTGTGCATGTATGATAGATGCATGTATACACAAATAGCAAGCTCTTCTTAGTCTTTCCATTTTGCTTTCACTTATCTTGCTTTTGTCTTTTTCATAGCACTTTTCACTAGTTAAAATTATATTTTTTGATATGAAGGTGAGTTATTTGTCTGTCTTATTCAAAGCTGTACCCCGAGTACCTGAAAGAGTTGTGGAATCGCCAGGGCCATGTTTTGGGTGATACTGTCTTGGTTCTTAGAGTTCCTCCTTGTCAGATATAGATATAAAGTCATCAGGGGTCCTCTCACCAAAGGCAAACGTCCTGGTATGAGGAACATACTGCTGAAAACAGCAGGCAGATATTAGACTAGCGGTAATAAGCTTTGACCTGCGGGAACAATGGAACCCTATCCCCCACCCAGGCAATAGTCTCTGGTCACTCCACTGTAGTTTTACATCCCCAATAGCTGCTTCCCAGTGCATGTTCACTCCCGGTACTCAACGTTAATAAATACAAGGTTGCTTTTGGATGGGGGCTCACATTACTTTCGGTGCAACCCCTCTAGGCTTCTCATTGCTCCACATGGGTTTTGAGTGCTCTTTCCCTCATCCTGCGAGGTGGCAGAGTCACTGTCAAACACACACATGTGCACACACACAGACACACACAGGATCATGCATGGTGTCCTGGTTATTCCATAGATAGCATCGAAGCTCTTCTTGTTATGGACCTAAAGGCCGATATTCAACCACAAGGCCAGGTAGATATTGTTGCATCATACCCCATTCAGGAACAGATTTTCTTAAACTCTGCCCAAAATCTTTAGTTGCCACAAGTGAGCTAAATAGATTCTTTAAGTGATCTCATTAACCTTAAAGACAATCTACATGAAGTGTATTAGTACATTCACCTAACATTGATTTTGCTGAGTGTATCTTGTTTAGGCCTTTTGGAGCTGTACAGAGGGGGTGGGGAAGAAGAAAGAACAGACAGGGAAAGGTTTTTAGCAAGATGTAGAATATACTGTAGTAGTGATTTTTTTTTTCTGTAAGATGCAATGCAAAGCAATGTAAAATGCCCTAGATTTGAACTAGTAAGATGGGAAGGTAACAGTTTTGTTTGAAAAGTCCTGATCCTGCACAATTTCTTTTTATTTTGCATTTGGCCAAGTGCCAATTTGGTGACCTTCAGGATGTGATATTAAATTCTTAGTTTTTATTCACAGCGCTGCCCACATGAGCCAGGTTGATAGAAAGTCTGTTTGCATCCATAATAAGAAATAGTATCATGGTCATTTTATTGAATGTTCATATATTTACTCAATAGCACAGAGCTAGGAAAATGTGTCACACTGTCATATATGGGGTATAAGAACACAGAAAGAAACAGGTTTCTTCTCAGGCTTCTTGTTGATTTACACATACACTTAAATAAGCAAAGAGGGAACACTAGATCATTTGGTTAAGAATGTTCGAATTTGGCTATAAATCCCCATTTGACTGTAGTTAAAGTGAGCTTTTGTTTCACATTATAAAGATGCTTTTCTCTATGCACTCCTGCCAAAGCATGTATCGGGAGAAACTCCAAGCATAAAAGCAGAGTTCTGCTAGGAGCTGGGTTCTGGTTTTCAGTGTGTAAAATCTGGGTGTGAAGTTCAAGTGTAAAGGATTTTAGAAAGTCTTGAAATGACTCAAGTGCTGTTTTGGGGGCAAATAAGACATATGTAGACCATGTTATTATTAACCTACATCTGTAATTTATTTACTTATTTATTTCTATTCTTTATTTATTTCTATTCTTTCCAGTTTAAATATTGTAAATGTGCCTTTAAAAATATTGTTTTTACAGTTTAAATTCTAGATGTCTCTACAGTTGAAATATCCTGAGTTGGTTTTACCAAAACTGCTAAGATTTCATAAATGTCAAAGAAATGAAGATTACCGTGTTCAGTTTTTCTCTCCCAATTTTTAAAAATTGGGTAACGTTAATATTTAAAACATGGTCTATCATGGTGCATGCATTTCAGTAATCATAAATCCAACTTATAATTTAGTACTAATCTAAGTCAATGCAAAATAGTTCCCTCACCCCCACTTTATGGCCTCATCCTTTTGTTTTAAAACACTATTCCCAATAGAGGTACAGTGGAAATAGCTGTGACTTTCACAAACAGAACCTTTACATCAGCACTCAGTTGCCCCTTAAATGACATTTTTATCTATGTGCCTTCTTAAAGCAGCTCGTGCCAAACACGAAAAGGTTAACAGGACGCAGATAACACAGCTTAATGGGGTCAAATCAAGCTGATTCATGATCACTATGGAGAAGAATATCCTCCTGGGGAAAATACTTGTACTGAAAAATCCCATAAACCAAACCACTTGTTTATCTGTCATTCCCACAGAGATAGTAATGTAATTACTCTCGTAATTATCTTCATTAGTGTCAGGCATTATCTACAATTCATTCCTCTGCTCAAAGAGTATGTTTGTTTATTTGCTGATTTTTTCCCCCTCTCCGACTTGGCTAGGTTCAGATTTTTGTATTTGTAAAGCCGCACGCAGCATCTGTGCCGAACGGCTCTGACATTCTCTCCCCTAAAATAGAGATTGCTGTCTTTCAGTTCCAGAGCTCCTACGCCCACTCCCTGACATCCGCCCTTCATTACTTGGTTCCCGTGCGACCACGACGACAGATTGTCTATCCTCTGGAAAAACTTGGCATCAACGCTCCATCAAAGGAGGTCTCCAAGGATCCGGTGGGTAACAGGGCGGCAGCAGGCAGGGAGGCGCAGTGCCAGCTCACGCGGGCGTGGCAGATGGGTGGCAGCTCTGTCTTTGCGGAGCAGACTGCTTCTTAATTACAGGGAGCCTGGCGCTCGTGCCCTTACAGGGGTGGGCTGTGGCAGTTCCCCTGCAGACCTCTCTCAGGTGGTTATTTCACAGGAAACTTAAAATCGGCACCACATGGTTTCTGGGGTGAGAGATCCCTTAGGGAGTGGCTGTCACTTCCTGGGACAAGGGGCCTACAGTCAGCCTCCCCGCATATTTATTTCCTTTCCTTTCCCTCAAAGGCAGATTCCCAGCTCCATCCGTGTTATGCCTTAAAGCCCAAAGGGGCATTCACAACGCAGACAAAGCTGACAGAGGAAATAGTGTTGGCAGCATTTGAGATGCCTGAGTCGTAAGCTGAGTCTGCTTAGCAACTTTGTGGAGTTCGAATGATGAACAGGAGCATATTCACTACCCTAGAGGAGGGAAGGGGGTGTGACCTTAAAGTGAATGGCTTCAGGACACTCTTACTTCCAAAACAGAAAAAGGGACTGAGGCAGAACCTGGATTTCACTTCCGATGGAAATATGTATGTGTATGTACACACAGACATTTTCAGTAACATAACTGGAAAACATGATTTTGTAAGCTGACTTACATGTAGCTCTGCAATGTTTGGATACACAGCCTCATCAGTAAGTTGAAAAAACTTTTCCCAGTGGGGGGGGGGGGGTTGTCCTTGAGGCAAAAGAAAAAAAGAATGTGTAAAATCTCAAATCACCAAATGTTTACCAGTGAATTGCTCATCAGAACTAGATACAAGACTCAAATCAGCAATTGGGGGACACATAGCACAGCAGCAAGTGCCACAGTCCGCTACTTTTATATCATAGAGGTGCACAGAGGCCTCAGCCAAAGCCCCTCTTAGAATCAGTTACTGGAAATGAGGCTGTATTCACCCCTACATGTATTGTTATATTTGTAAAATAAAAAATAAATGTATGGGTCCAGGAAGAGCTTGCCCCTGTTCCTGAAGGTGCAGCCCACTCTTCCTTGCTTTGGAAAAAAAGTTCTTTTCTTTTTTAAAGATTTATTAATTTATGTATACAGAGCTGGGGTACAAGCCAGAGGTGCAGGGGTGGTGAGAGGATTCACCTGAGACAGAGTGGGGAACAGACCAGGCAGATCTACAAAGTACACTGCTGAGGGGAGCAGCGGGAAGGTCAGGAGAGGTCTGCCAGGCCATCACCTCTGGGGCCCAGAATCAAGCTGGCACCGAAGCAGCTGCGGCTGGCTTTTAGTGCTGTGTCCTAACTGGTTGCGCCACCAGGGAGGGCCCAGCATTTATTTTCTAATAACTTTTAGAATTATATTTGAGTAGAGACAACACAAATAATTCTTTAATTTGGAAATGTTAAGCATATCAAAAATAGAATTATGCAAAGGAAGATCTGTGTTGAGGGGCCTAACTTTTTATGTATATACAATGATAGTTTTATAAAAAGTAAATTCCTGAAAATGTGAGACTAGCAAATAAGGTAAAATTCAAGTCTAGTTATTTTGTTCTTAACTTGAACAAACATATAATTACTCTGCCCAATAACCATAAAAACTTCTTAAAGCTTCTCTCAGTCCCTACACTTCATGGAGCAGATGGATCCCCAGCTCAGATCACACACTGAGAAGCTTCAAAACTCCCACATACCCAGAATTCAGCTTCAATAATTCTCAACTCTTCGCCAATACACTCCTCCCCACCTCTCTCTCCATCTTCCCTCATCCCCATTTACCCTTTTTCCTATGTTATTTAAGCAAACTGCAGATATATTTCGGTCAGAATCAAGGTGTGCTTTTAGGTTGTACAGTCCACAGCGTTACAGCTTATGCTCTATCTACTTTGGAGGAAAGCATGCTAGAGTCCACAGGGAGCATCTTTGGGATGGACCACCAAGTGGACTGTGTTTGTATGGAGATGGTGGAGATGGACTTCCTGGAATGAGAGCCAAGTGCCACCTGTTTGGTATAAAGAGGGTGTGTTGGGGTGAGAGAGTGTGGCTTCATCTGTGTCTGTCACTGAAAGTCACCTTGCCTAAAATAATGCTGACCTCAGGCAGAGGAGCTGCTGGTAGAAGGTATCTGGATACAGCTTCTGTGTCAGATCAGAGCAAGGATGAGAGATGCTTTCCTTTGCAGCCACTGCTGAGACACCTTCAAGTTTGGCCAGACCATACGACCAAGCAGGAGATGCCCTCACATGTCAGTGGCAGCCCTTGGCTTTGGCTCTGAATGTCAATACTCTAGCATAAGTGGTGGGCTGGAGAGGAGGGGAGGAATACATAGCTGTTGCATGACTATCAAGAACAGTCTTTTTTCTAAACACCAGGAACTCCCATCCCCCCCTCCAAGAATCTCCGAGTTAGGTAACCTAGAGGTAAACTAGAGTTGCAGGTGGGATAAAAAACACAAAGAAAACATTTTGCTTCATTTAAACAATACTATTGCTTCTTCCCAGGTCGATAGGAGTTGAAATCTTTGCTTACATTTAATAACCTTTTCTGTGGTCATCTCAGTGTGCTGTGTCCCCCAGAGTCCTGTTTTATTTCAGCACAGAGCAGAGGGTCGGTTGTTGAAGTCCCTGGTGCAGGGAGACAAGTCACTCAGCAGATCTATGGGGTGATGCTCGGGCCTCGCATGTCTTGTGGTGGTGTTTATTGTATTGGTGAATTTTGACTTTTGAAGATGTGCTGTTATGGCTACTTTGATCTTATACCTAAGAAGATTTTAGTAAGTAAAGTTTTAGCATTAGCAAGCAAGATTTTGTAACAATTTTAAAGTCTTAAAGTTTGATCAAAGGATTATCAAGTAAAATGCTGCATTTTAATAATTTTTAAAAATTATTATACGTCAATACATTTATTTAAAATTTTCCTCTAACATTTAGACAATTATAATAAATAAGGGAAATTAGCTAAAACAAGGTGAGTCAAATAGAAAATTTTTAGGAGGAATGTCTAGAGTCTTACATTGATTTCTTAGCAGAGCAATAGCATTATGGCCATTGCACTGGGATTGAATAATTGCCATCACTAAATGGGTTCCCTTTTTTTCCTCCTTGCAGTTTTCCCAGCACATGGAGCTTTATATGGACCCTTCAGCTCCCTCATCATCTCTGCACATTTCTCTCACTGGGCACTTGCCTTTCATACCTTTTATCCTATTTAAACCATCTGAGAGTGACCATCCATTCCCTAGTGCTCACCTAGGAAGCCAGTCTTCAGGGGAACAGATCATTCCAGGCATGAGTAATGGGATAGAAAGCGTTTCATCTCGGTGGGTTGCCAATTTAAATCTGGCACAAGTCAGCAGTGATTGAAATTCATCACCTTGTGAGAGGGAAAGGTGTTTCCCCCTCCCCACCCCAAGGCTCTGGTAGTTTCTGCCTGGTTTGGATGATAGGTGCCACAGTGCCTTCCCTAGCCTTTCTATTAATTGACAATGACCCTATATCAGGGGTCACATAAGGAAGGACCTGGGAAACATGCAGATGGTTTTTATCACATGTGAAAATGTAGGGTTAGGTCCCAGAGTTTCCTCATAGTAGTGCCATAGTCAACCAGTGTAACTTCATAGACAGGAGAGCATGAAAGGGACCTGGCAGATTCAGATGGTTTTTATCACATGTGAAAATGTGGGGTTAGGTCCCAGAGTTTCCTCATAGTAGTGCCATAGTCAACCAGTGTAACTTCATAGACAGGAGAGCATGAAAGGGACCTGGCAGATTCATCTCTTAGCTTGAATGGGCTGACCTGGCCTGTGCATTTTCATTCTAAGAATTGTTCTGATGGAATTTTTTATGATATTAATCAACTTTATGCATCATTTATTTAAGCCATAAAATTAACATTAATCACTTCAGTAAGAATTATAATCTTACACATAGGGAGCTCAGAATTTGATTGAATGAATTGAATAGCCACATTAGTGAAGACTGTAGAACAAGTAGACCCATTTACTTTGAGGTGGTTCTCTGTACAAACCTGTTTTCTTTCCTTCCTGCATTTTCTAGAGGGATTTAGAGAGGACTGTGATACAGTCCTTGCCCTCAAAGAGCTTTCAATCTAGTGTTAATATTTAACATGGGATTACTTGTTCCCCTTACTAGTTCTAGGTCCCTGGTAAAGAATAACCACACCGAGATTAGTCCCATTTTACAGAATCTCTCAGGGAGAATGTCTTTGGTCAGACACACTGTTCCCTTTTGTCTTAAGTCACTCTTACTGGAAAATCTGCTTTGAACTTAAACAGCTTTTACCTTATTTCATTATCAATAAGTGAATCACCCCTTCAATCATCCACTTCAATCACTTTAACTCTTCAATCACTTTAACTCTTCACCTTGTTTTATGATGTTCATAAAATTATAGTGTGAATGCTCCTCGCTCAAAAAAAAAAAAAAAAGGATGGCTACATCAATTCATCCTTTTCCTAAAGAATTGTATTTCAGTGTAATAAGGGCCTGTTGTCATTTTTCTGTCGTTGTTTATTAGTGATGATCTATTTAAATCTCCACTAATGAATTCTTTGAGGCCTCCATTTTGCCTTTGTCCTTGTACAAAGAAAAATGACGGTTTATTTACCACCACCACCCCCCTTCTCAGAGCTAAGTGCTGGCCCGCTTTTTCTTGGTATGTGATCTCTCAGGAAGATGTCGCTCACTGGCATTCAGTTACCCTTTGAATTGCCCCTTTTCATCTCTGCTGTTCTTCCCCAGTCCAGCTATAATTACCATCTGATGGACTGTTACTGGATACTGTTTCACTTGTACATCTGCTGCCCTAGGAAATTGCATTATTCTCCCAGCACCTGCTAGATTTTCCCCAGCTTAATTGTTTCTCAACTCCTTCCTTCAACTTGGAAATTCTCACTGCCTGTTAGACTCCTTTGGTTGTACTTGTGGGTAGGGAGTGTGTGTGTGTGTGTGTGTGTG